CTTTAGCATTAAGGGATACTAGGAAAGCCTTTTTGTAAAAGATGTCATTTTATGTGGGACTTCAAGGAAACCGGAGAATCTAGGAGACAGAGATGGGGGAAGGAGAGAATTCCAGACATGGACAGCAAATGAATATGCCAAAGTCTGGAGATAGAGTATCTTGTGTACAGGCAACAAAGAAGCCAGCATCAGTAGATCTCAGAGTACAATGAGGGAAGAAAGATATTACATGATTGGAAAGGTACTGGGGAAAGGTTATGAAAGCTTTTAAAAGACAAACAGAGGATTTTATACATGATCCTGGAGGTGATGGGGAGCCACTGAAGTTTATTAAACAGAGTGTCTGACATGATCAGACCTGTGCCTGAGTGGAGCATGGATTGGAGTGGGGAGAAATTTGAGACAAGGAAACCAATCGATATGCTGTTGTGATAGACCAGGCATGAGGTGATGAGGACCTATATCAGAGTGGTAGCAGTGTTGAAGCAGAGGGCACGTACAGGAGATGTTATTAAAGTAGAATCAATAGGATTTGGCAATGCATTGGATGTGCCAACTGAAGACTTGAGGTTTTGAGCATATGTTTACGTTTTGAGCCTGTGGGGATGGTTGGTGCCCTTGACAATAATAAAGGAATTAGAAAGAGGGGAAAGTTTTGGGGAAAAGATAAGGAGTCTGGTTTTGGACATGTTGAGTTTAAGATGTCTATAGGACAACCTATTCAAAATATCCAGTAGGCAGCTGTTCGGAGATATAAGACCAGAGATTGGGAGAGACATGTTGTTCAGTTGTTTCCATCATGCCCTGCTCTTCATAACCCCATTTGAGATTTTCTTGGCAAAGATACTGGAGTGGCTTGCTATTTTTTTCTCCAGCTCATTTTACAGATGAGGAAACTGAGGCAAACAGGGTTAAGAGACTTGCTCAGGGTCACACAGCTAGTAAGCGTCTTGGGCTGGATTTGAACTCAGGAAGATGAGTCTTCTTGACTCCAGGCCAAGCATTGTATCCACTGAGCCAGTAGCTGCCTGGGTGAGAGATTAGGGCTGGATAAAGAGATCTGAGAATAATCTGCATAGAGATGATAATTGAATCTATGGGAATAAATGGATCACCAAGCAAAATAGTATAGAATAGTATAATATAAAAGAATAAAAGAAGAGGGCCTTGAGGAGTATCCAGGGTTAGCAGGTATGAGCTAGATTAAAGTTCAGCAAAGGATACTGAGAAGCAGTGTTCAAACACATAAGAGAATCAAGAGGGAGCAGTGTGACAAGATTTTAGAATGAGGGAAGGAAGATTCAAGAAGGAGGAGGACTGAAAAAGCATGGGTGACTTTGGAGAAAGCTATTTCAGTTAAGAGAGTGAGAGGAAATGAAGTGAACACACACCCATTGTGGAGGGCCTTTTCAAAGAGTTTACTCACAAAAGGGAGGAGAGAAATAGGATAATAGCTGTTGAGGAAATATGCTATCATGAAGTGAGGGTTTTTTGAGAATGAGAGAGAAACGAGTGTGTTTATAGGCAGAAGAAAGCAGCAGTAGACAGGGTGATATTGGAGATATTTGAGAGAGTGGGAGTGGAAAAAAGACAGGAAGGAATGGGATCACTTGTGCATCTAGAAAGGTTTCCCTTGGTAAGAAGGGCCATCTATCTCTTCAGGTGAGACATGACTGAAGGCATCTGAATGATGTGAGATGAGGAAGGGACAAGTGGAAGCTCATGGGAAATGACCTCATTTTTTCCAGTGAAATATGAAACAAGGTTCTCAGTTGAGAGGGTAGGGAAAGGGAAGCTATGGAAAGTTTGAAGAGAAATGGAAAAGTTTGGGAAAGTCACTATGGTGAGCAGGATAGCGAATCAATTAGGGAAGTATAAAGAAATTGCCCTTCTGCACTGAGGGCCCAGTAGAGCTAAAGTGACATAAATTTGTAGTGGACTCAGCATAGTTTTGTAATTTTCTCCATCTTTGTTCAGTAACCTAAGAACAAGAACGAAGGCAGCAGATGGTGGGAATAATCCAAATTAAAGGGATGTTAGATGGAGCATAGAGAAGCAGATTGATATACTCCGTTCAGGAATAATGACATGTTTGGTCATGACTCCATAACTGGGGGGATGAGGAGGAGTTTAAATTGAATATTTCTGCCTTTCTACATTTCATTATGAGGTTTTTATGCCCTACTCCATGGTCAATTTTTGTGTAGGTGCCATGAGAAAAAGGTATATTTCTTTCCATCCCCATTCAGTTTTCTGCAGAGGTCAATTATATTTAACTTTTCTAAAATTCTATTTACCTCCTTAACTTCTTTCTTGTTTATTTAATGGTTAGATTTATCTAGTTCTAAGAGAGGAAAGTTGAGGTACCCCACTAGTATAGTCTTACTGTTTATTTCCTAATGTAATTCATCTAACTTCTTTAAGAATTTGGATGCTATACCATTTGGTGCATATATGTTTGCTACTGACATTACTATATTGTATATGATACCTTTTAGCAAGAGGTAGTTTCCTTCCTTAGCTCTTTTAATTAGATCTATTTTTGCCTTTGCTTTGTCTGAGTTCATGATTACCGCCCTTGCTTTTTTTTTTATCAGCATAACACATATTGCTCCAACCTCCTACCTTTACTCTGTGTGTTTTTCTCTGCTTTAAGTGTATTTTCTATAACAGCACATTGTAGGATTCTGGTTTTTAATCCATTCTTCTATTCACTTCCTTTTATGAGTGATTCATCCCATTCACATTCATAGTTATGCTTACTAACTAAATACTTGCTTCCATCCTGTTTATCCTTCTGTCTTTCCTTTCACCCTATCCCTCCTTACCACTGTTTTGCTTCTGACCACCACCTTTCCCAATCTGTCCTCCCTTCTGTCAGTTTCCCTTTGAGGAGGAGTTTGAAATGAAAGAGTAGGAGATGGGACAGTGAGGTGGTTAACAAGAAGGCTGTGGAGGGGGGTGGTTGGAGAGGAGGGAGTGAAACGAATCATGGCTGAGATTTTGCTGAAATAGTACCCTCAGAGAGGCAGTCATCAATCAAGAAAGGCTGTGGTGTCAGAGCAGAAGAACCTCCAGAACATGGTCTGGTTGCTAGGCAGTTGCTGAGATGACTTTGGAAAAGGGATTGTTTCAGAAGAACGAGCATCCAAGCAAAGAGTAACAAGTAATGCTAGGTGAAGATCTGCATTCAAATCCGGCCTCGGACACTTACTGGCTGTGTGATCCTGGGCAAGTCATTTAACCCTGTTTGCCTCAGTTTGCTCATCTGTAAAATGAGCTGGAAAAGGAAATTACAAATTACTCCAATATCTTTGCCAAGAAAACCACAAATGGGGTTACAAAAGGTCTGAAGTGACTGAACAACAAATGCCAACATGCTTCAGATTAGTCCATGTTCCATGACTCTTGTTTTTCATTTAATTTTATAATCAACAAAATTATTTTTTTCTCTCTTCCACCTCTAACATTGAAAAAAACCTTTATAAAAATATACATAATCAATCCAAAAAATAGGACATGTCCAAAACTATGGCCATTCTGCACCTTGCATCCATCAACTCTCTGCCAGGAGGTGGGTAGTACACCTCATGTTCGGTGCTCTGGAATCTTATTTGGTCACTGAATTAATCAGTCACAATTTGTATTTAGGGAGTATATTATGCAATAGGCACATAGTAGATGTTCAGCAAATATTTGTTTTTGATGCAAATTTTTACAGTATCTTTCAACTTATTCTAAGAAATACTTAGCCTCACAGGTTATACCAGACAGCCTAGGAGAGTCTGCTATCATCTCGCTACCTTGGAAAACTTTACTGAAGAATTGAAGAAAAAGTTTGAGGTAATATTGACTTCGACACTTTGATGAATTCATTAAAATCAACATTTCCCTTTGTTGATGCTACTCACAATCCTTTCTAATTATTTATGGGCTGTCTCAGCCAACTAACCCATCACTTTCTGGCTAATCTAGTGCTGAGCTTCTCTACACCAAGGTGGCTGTTGGTGGATAAGAGCGCATTCTCTCACAAGGCCAACACTGTAAGCCTGTCCCACATGATAGGATATACAAAATTGTGTTCCACTGATATGGCCTTTGAGAGCCCAAGGTCACCTCCATATCATGATGAAACACTCCAGTAGGACTTTAGTAGAGGTTGACATAGTCATGGTCAACATACTAAAACAATGGGTTGCAGTGACTGGATAATGACCAGTTTTGTAATTTTGTAATGCCTAGTTTTCTGTACTCAATTGCATGTGTGTTGAATAGTTACTTGAGTTTGAGGGGGAGGAGTAGTAAACTTACTGTGATACATATACATAATCAACTAGTCTACATTCTGACCAGTGTTGTCCATTTCTAGGAAAGCTGTAGAATGAAGCTAACCAGAGCCATACAAGTGAACTCTTCCCCATGTCCTCATTAACACTGCAGTCATACTAACTACTTTAATAAGAAAGGATGATTTGAATTTTTGAATCTTTGTAAAATCTTTGTAAAAAAATTACTGACATGGGAATTTCATGTTCTGTTTGCAGTGTGAATAACTGCAATTTCTGTAGGCCCTTTCAGAATCAATTAAGCAACAAGTATTATTAGTCACTTCATGCTTCAGACATTGTTTCAGGGGTGAAGATAAAAAGGCAAAAGCAAAACACATACTATCCTCAAGGAGCTTACATTCTAGCAGAGGTGACAACAGATACACAAATAAGTATACACAAAATAGATCCAACATAAAAAAAAATATATTTTTTAGAAAGGGAAGTTGGAGTTGCAGCTTGGGTGATCAAGAAAGGTTAAATATGGAAGGTTTAATGTTATCTGATCAGTGTTAGATAGGACTCTTTGATGATTCGTTGCCTTTTAAAGAGTTTGTCCACACCAATGGTTCAGGTAATTCTCTGGCCTCATCCTCTATATGGCCAAAATATTAGTGAGCAGTTACAACAATCTTTGAAAACCTTTGCCATTTTTCTTTAAAACAACTCAGAGCGTTGCTAGCATTTTAACTAAATCTTCTGGAAATGTTTTCAAAGGTCCCTTCCAATGTTAAAATGCTGTCACTCTAAGAAAATTATACAAGTTAAGACAGAGTATGTAGACTATGACAGCATGTGCTGAGGAAATGAACGCGAGTCTTCTGTTGCCATATGTTGTTCTTGGCTTAACTAATCAATAGTGTTATCAATTAGCATTCTGGCATCATTCCTTTAAGTGAAAATATAGTACTTTTAGTCATATCTTGCTTAGCTTTTTTTTTTCTTTTTACATTTTTATTGATCATTAATCCCTCCATCTTCCCTTCACCAAGACCCTTCTCAATGAAGAAAAACTGTATGATATAAATCTAATTAACCTTTTGGTTATGATTCAGTCTAGGAACGAGGAAAAAGACGTTTGTTTCCAAAATGCTATGAAAGCATTTGAGAAGTTAACCATGCTTTTAAACCAGATATATCAATGCAGGTAAATACTATTAAACTGAGTGCAGTAGCCACTTTATGAAATGGTCTAGAGACTGAAAGCAAATTGAAAAAATCTGTGATCTTAAGAAACTTGCCCTGTCACTACCACATGGTAGTCGTTAACGTTTATCTTTCTTCTCTTCTTTTTCTCATTCCTCCTCACCCTTTTTGTTTTTCTGCCCTCTCTTTATTCCCCTCCTTTTTCTTTCATGCCCAGCCTTTAACGTAACCTGGCTGTGTGACCCTGGGAAAGTCTTTGGACTTCTCAGCGTTTTAGGGAATTGTCTCAAGGACTGGAGATTGCAGAGGGGATGCCAAGCTGCATCAGCAAAGGGAATTTCCTCATCCAGGAGTCCCCTATATCAATGAAATCACAGGCCCTATTGCTATCCTTACAAATGATGACTCTCTGGGAGAGGAAGTAGGGAGGATTATGTTGGGAAATGTAGGTAATACATATAACAAACATAGCAACAAAATTTATTTTTAAAAATGATCATTTTGGGGTCAGCTAGGTGGCACAGTGGATAGAGCTCTGGCCTTGGAGTCAGGAGGACCTGAGTTCAAATCCAGCCTCAGACACATGATATTTATTATCTGTGTGACCCTGGGCAAGTCACTTAATCCCGATGGCCTCACCAAAAGAAGCAGAAATAAATTATCATTTTTATTAAGTTGAAAAGACATTGTTTTTCTGGACTGGAGATGGATAAAAGTTGGACAGTATGGGTTGTGCTCTACACTGTTGATAGCCTAGCTCAGGGATGCGGAACCTGTGGCGTGAAGGCCACATGTGGCCCACCAGCTCCTCAAGTATGTCCCTTTGACTGAATCCAAAAGGGCCATACTTGAGGACCTAGAGGGCCACATGTAGCCTCCAGGCCGAGGGTTCCCCACCCTGGCCTAGCTGCGTTAGAACCCATATATTTTTTTTCCTGGAGATGACCTTGAAAAACAAAAAGACAAAGCATCAGATATGGTATATTGAGGTGAGCCTTAGAGAGATCAGCCTTCAAGGAAGAAAATGGCATATAATGGCAGAAGACAGAAGGGGTAGTAGGTAGGTGTCCTTTCTGAGGGCTTTTGTGTGTGGGAGGCAGTGTGGTACAATAGTGAAGACACGGAGTTTGGAGTCAGAGAACCTGAGTTCCAATTCTACCTTAGTCGTTTATTAATATTAACTATGATCTTGGGCAAATCACCCAACTTCAGCTAGCCTCAGTTTCCTCACCTGTAAAATGAGGGGGCTGGTCTTGATGACCTTTTTAAGGTCTCTTCCAGCTTGGAATCCATGATCTGTGGTTGGCACTCTAGTGCTGCCACTTGCTTTGTGACCTTGAGCACTTAACTTTACTATACCGCATTTTATACATTTGTACAATGAGGTGGTTGGATTAGACGACCTCTACGGTCCCTTTAGCTCCAAATGGATGCTTCTGTGACCTAGTATTCTCTGTATGCTCTCGTACCAGCAGCCAGAATGCTCCATATACACCTCTTTACTCAATATTTCTATAGCATCTTAAAGTTCTACAAAGTGCTTTCCCCTTCCCAGTCCTGTGACGGAGGGTAATGCAAGTATTTTTATTTCCATTCTGAAGGCTCTGGTGAAGTGACTTAACCCATAGTCACACAACTAATAGGTGACCTTTGAGCCAGGACTAAAACTTGGACCCCTTGATTTCAAAACTCATCATCTTTTCCACTACACGTGCTGTCTTTCAACATACTCCTTGAGTTTCTCTAACACATACTTATCTAAAACCTAGAGTCAGTCAACATTGATTAGGTGTCTACTGTATTTTAGGCACTGTGCTAAGCACTGGGGATACAGAGAAAGGCAAAAGATAGTCCCTGCTCTCAAGGAGCTCACAATCTAAAGGCAGAGAAAACATGCAAACAATTGTATGTTCACACAAGCTACAGTTATCCCTTCCCTGTAGAGGGGTTAGGGGCACCTCTGCCATCTGGAAAATCCACATTAAATCTTTTGGTTCTCCCTTCACATCAGAGAAGGTCTGAATTTTTTTCTTTTTCTTTTATGGGGTGTTTACTGTACCATATTGTAAAATTTGGGTTAAGTATTTGGTCATAGGCTCTGTGTCATCTGGTGGCCTTCATGTGTAGCCTATGACTTCTGCAAAACTTCCCCCAAATTCCCATTTAATTTCTTATGCCAACCCATAATATATCAAAATTGCAATGGGGAAAATCACAATGTGGAAGGAATAATGGTATATGAAGGATAAATTGTAAAGGGAGTAGAATTAAGGAGGATAAGGAAAGGCTTCCTTTCCAATCGGAAGACAGACTTTTAGATTTGGGAATAGATAGAACTTGGCCATTTACACTATTGGAAGAGCCCAATGCTATTTGTCTTCAGAAAGTTTGTGGCAATTCCTGCAAGAGGACTTCTATAGCTATATGTGTTGGAGATTTTTTAAATGGAAAAATGCCATGTATGAATTTGAACGGAATCCTTAAGTAGCACCACTCAGAAGGAAAGGGAAAAGTCTACATTTGCTTGGTCCAGGATGATAGAAATTCCCACTCCATGGCTGGTCAGTAACTTCTCAGTGACCTTGTGGTGCATCTTAGAGTAGGGGATATCCTTCTTATTGGCTCTTTGAATTCTTAGGGGGAATTGGGGTTATGGCTTAAGGTCAGACTTCGCTCGCTGCATTTGTGTTTTCTCTCCTATCCCAGTCTAAACCAGCTGAGGAAAAGATGAATGAAGACGGCTTGCTCACTCTTTTGTCCTTGACTAAATAAATGATGCACTGACATTGCAGCTGTTGTTGACACCATTCTGTTCTATTTCCATCATGGAGTTATTTCAATTAGAACTGAATATAAAATATTGCATTGGCTTCAAGTTGGATATTTTTTAGCTACTTGTCCACAAACACTCTGTTTTGGGGTTAAGTTGTGGTCAGAAGAAAGAATGTTCAGGCAGTAAACAACTTTAAGAACTCTTTAAAAAATCAGTTGAAGCGATGAGTAACAAGAAAAAAAAATCCTTTTTCTTTTTCTGCCAAAGTTAATTTTTTCCTTTTTCTAATTGCTTTAATTTCATCCGTCTCTTCTTAAAATTTGTTTTGGAGTTAAAATTAAACCTTTTTATTTTAGAAAAAAATGAAGGAAAAATAAGATGGAAAAGATGAGGTGCTAGATTTCAGAAAGTTTCTCATCTAGATTGGAATAATTTTCTTTTCCCCAGCAGGTGGGTGTTTTGACTTCTTAAAACTGACGTGAAGCCAAGCAATCTTCAAAATTGGAAAAAAGATTAAAAAATGGAGAGTATATAAAGTACCTGTGAAGATTGAACACATGAAATCATGTACATATTTGAGCACTTGAATTTTTATAATAGGAAAACATTGATTCATATGCTATTTTTGGCAGTGACCTTGTTTATACTTTAAAATACATGTTAATTAGTTTAAACCATTGAAAACAGATTAAGGTCACTGCATTTAGAGATAGAAAGGATATTGGAAATCATTTAATTCAACCTCCTTGACTGTGAATGAGGAAATGGAAGTCCAGAGAGATCATTGTACAGGTAGGAATTGGCAGAGCCATGATGGTAGTCAAAAAGTATTTATGAAGCTCCTACTAGTCCAAATCCGGTCTTGCATACTAGCTGTGTGACCCTGGGCAAGTCATAACACTTTTTACCTCAGTTCCTTTATCTGTAAAATGAGCTAGAGAAGGCAAACCACTCCAGTATGTTTGCCAAGAAACCCCCAAATGGAGTCACGAAGAGTCCGACACAACTGAACAACAATAAAACTCCTACTGTGGTGCCAAGGACTGTGCTTGGAGACACAAAGAAAGGCCAAAGACAGTCCCTACTTTCAAGAAGCTCACAGGATGTGAACTTACAATTCTGACTCCAGATCTTTTCTTTAACTTAACATTGTATTACCCCCGCCCATTACATATAAAAAACATTTTTTAATATTCATTTAATTTTTTTTGAATTCCAAATTCTCTTTCTCCCTGCTTCCCTCTCCTCCCCTCCTCAATGGAAGGCAAGCCATTTGATACAGGTTATACATATGGAGTCATGCAAAACATTTCCATATTAGTCATGTTGTGAAAGAAAATAGACCCCAAAAAAAACTCCCAAAAAGAGAAAAAGTATGCTTCAATCTATATTCAGAGTCCCATCAGATTTTTCTCTAGAGATGGATAGCATTTTTCATCATAAGTCCTTCAGATGTCTTGGATCATTATATTGCTGGTAATACCTGAGTCAGAGGTGGGGAAACCTGATGTGCCTTCTAGGTTCTTGGGTGCAGCCTTTTGACTGATTCCAAGTCACTCACAGTTGATTATCATACAATATTGCTGTTAATGTATGCAATGTTTTCCTCATTTCACTTTACATCTGTTCGTGTAAGTCTTAACAGGTTTTTCTGAGAGCATCTTCATCATCATTTCATATAGCACCACCATAGTATTCTATTACAATCATATACAACTAACTTGTTCAGCCGTTCCCCAATTGTGGACATCCCCTCAATTTTGAATTCTTTGCCAACACTAAAAGAACTGTTATAAATATTTTGGTACATATATGTCCTTTTCCTTTTTTATCTCTCTGGGATATAGACCTAAGAGTGGTATTGCTCAGTTAAAAGTGTATGCGTGGTTTTATAGTCCTTTGGGTATAGTTCCAGATTGCTCTACAGAATGATTGAATCAGTATATAACTTCACCAAAAGTGCATTAGTATCTCAATTTTCACACACTCTCCAACATCTTTTTTCTTTTCTGTCACATCAGCCAATCTGATAGGTATCAGGTGGCAACTTAGAGTTGTTTTAATTTGTATTTCTCTAATCAGTAGTGTTTTAGAGCATGTTTGCATATGACTTATAGATAACTTTGATTACTTCATCTGAAAACTACCTGTTCTGTCCTTTGACCATTTATCAATTTAGGAATGGCTCTTATTTTTATAAATTTGACTCAGTTCTCTATATATTTAAGAAATACATAATATTTCTTATATGTAATGTATATAATATCTAATAAATATATTCCTCTTGATCAGAGGAACTTTCTGTAATTTTTTTCACGTATGATTGTTATGTATTTCCTTCTAATCCTATTTCCACGTTATTTATCTTACTTTCTCTCTTCTTTTACTCTGTCCATTCTGAAAAGTGTTTTTGCTTCTGACTTTTACCTCCCCCAGTCAGACCTCCCTTCTATCATTCTCTTCAGCCCACCCCTCCTTATTCTCTTCTGCTCCTACTTTCCTAGATTTCTATACTCAGGTGATCGTGTGTTATTCCCTCTTTGAGCCAGTTCTGGTGAGAGTAAGGTTCACATGCTCCTCATCTTTCTCTCTTCTGTAAAAGCTCTTTTACGTGAGATAATTTACCCCATTCTACTTTTCACTTTCCTCTTTTCTCAGTGAGTTCCTCTTTCTCATCCTGAATTTTGTTTTTTTAATCATCCCATCATATTCGACTCACACCTGTGCCCAACTGTCTATCTATACTCCTTCTAACTGCCTTAATAAGGAGAAAGTTTTAGGAGTTAAAAGTATCATTGTCCCATGAAGGAATGTAAACAGTTTGAACTTATTGAATCCCTTATGGTTTCTCTTTCCTTTTACCTTCTTCTCTATGCTTCTTTTAAGTCTTATATTTGAAAGTCAAATTTTCCAAATCTTTCTAATAAATGACATTGCCTCCACCTACTACTTACAATAGCACATTATAATCTGTGGTTTGACCTTTATATTATCAACATATTTAATATTGCTTTGAATAATTTTTTACTAGTTGAGATAAATTCCACCCCTTTAAAAAAACACACTTGCTTGTAGACTATTCGTTATATTCTATAAGTAACTAATCTGCATTTTAATTAAACATTACTGAAATTAAATTATTGTTTTTACTTATTTCACTTAAGACTTTTTAAAAATCTTGGATAAATATGCAAAAAAAAATTATTTAGATTTAATTATTTGCCTTACTCCCGCAATCTAGTTCTGTGGGTGAGTAGTTGGTTGTGGTAGACTATACTTTGTCAAGGTATTCAGGCCAATTTGGGTCCTTACAGAATAGATCTCCCTGCATTAGAAAGATTCAAGCTTTGCCACAAATATTTAAAGAGGCAATCACCGGATCCCTAGATATATTCCCCACAGAGCTGTGAATGGGCAACTTCTTTTCTATATCAAATCAAGGTGAATGGGAAACAGGAAATGTGTGTCTGTGATTCTCTCTAAACAAGAGCCAGTCATTAGGAAGAGCAATTTTGCCCACGTGAAAAGCCTGTAGGAGTTAGAAGCCCGTAGGACTCAATATGTTCCTCATCCCTCAGTTTGAGGTTATGGACTCAAGGAAGTTATGTCCTCCCATCCATCCCTAAAGTGTCCATTTTGGGTGGCTTGAAGACTGGTGAGTTCTCTGCAGTTCTGGTTGTCTGCACCCACACAAGCTCTATTGGTTATAGCTTCTGAGTACCTTTGTAGGAGTAGACAATCAAACCCAAGTTGGATTTTCACAGGGTTCTTGGTCCGAAAAGGCTCCTTTTTTTAAGATGGGGTTCTGTCTCTATCCCTACTTCCAGAATGCATGCTGCTGATGTCTGAACCAGGTAAGGAAGTAGAACATGGTTAAATAAACCAACCTCTGAGCCTTTCCTTGGGAAAAGAAAAGGGATGTGCTATTGGAATGGACTGGTCTGAAGTAGTCAACTCGCTTTTTTCTAATCTCTCCATTTGGTCACCTTACTTTGCAAACTGCCTCTGCTGCGTGATGGTACTTGGTTTCATCTATGGAGAGGACTTTATGAGGAACTTACCCAACATCTCTCAGCCCTGCCTGCTGCCTTCTTGTGTCTGTTTTGTAATATGAAAATTCATGATCATGCCTCTAGTCTTGACTTTCACCACTGGCACCTTGTTGCCATGGTCACTGGAAGTTGAGGGGTTATGGTAGGAGAATACAGATTAACTTCTCCTTCCTCAACCTTGAAAAGCTGCTGGTACTTCCAATTTGCAGTGAGTGCCTTTTTCCACAGGACCTTATGGCACATATCAGATAGAGGAGGAATCAATGCTGTGTGATCTTCTAGAGTATCATCATAAGTGAACGCCCTGGTGCACTCCAAGCAGCAGGGACAGCTTGGCTAGAAGCCCACCTGTGCTGTGCTCAGTAGCAGGCACATCCGGCTCTCTGGATGCCAATAAAAGATTGTGATCCAGGTGTTTCTCTAGTTAAAAAACCCAGAACTCTGATTGTTATGTGAAAGTCAATGGAAGTTATACAGATATGACACAGATGTCAAAAAGGAACTTTCTACATCTGGTGATAAACAGCAAAGTCCCTAGCAGATCCCATGCAGAGGCTGTCGTGACTTGTGGGTTTATGTTGGTGAGAGAGGGAGAGAAAAGGAATGGGACATAGCCCAAAGCACCAGCATGGGCAGGAAGCTGAGACCAACAAGGTTCTAGGCCCTGTTCCCTCTCTAAGCACCAAGCTTGGTAGAATCAGATATGATGCAAATGGTGTCAACATCTAAGACGACCTGGGGGAGGTATGTAGAGGAAGATAAAGCCTCACTTAGGACTTTTAAGAAGTTCAGAATTCAGAAGCTTTTAGTGGTCATCATTAGGGTTCCAATCTGTCTTTCCAGACAGATTGCACACTTACTTCCCTTCCTTACGCCCTCTATCATGATGATGATGATGATGATGATTTGCTTTTTGGTGAGGCAATCAGGGTTAAGTGACTTGCCCAGGTCACACATCTAGTAAGT